GGGAAGAGGTGGAAAAAACAAAAAAAACGGAATTAAAGATTTAAATAGTACAATATAATTTATCCAAAACATGTCTATGATTAAGTCATAACTTTTAATTCATTATTAAGAAGGAATAGAACTATAATAATATATTGAAATATGTTTAAAAAAATAATATATTGCCTTCCTCCTTTTCCTTTCCGTGCAAATCAACCATGTGCAGCAGTTCTAAGTCGCTGCACTTATATAGAGTGCACGGCTCCTTCATACATCTAGCCATCATGGCTCAGCCTGACCAGCTTGCCCTGCCGTTTTCCACCAAAAGAAAACTCTATGTTGCGCCAAAACCAGGGTCCACTGACTGTATGACAAGGACATTATGGACCAGCCCCACACTGTCCTTCCATCGGGGTCTGGGTGCGGGCCTCCAAGGCTTTGCCGAGGAGAAACCCAATCCTATTATATGGTACACTTAGTAAAAGCTTGTAAAAGTTTATATATAAAACGAGGGGAAGAGGTGGAAAAAACAAAAAAAACGGAATTAAAGATTTAAATAGTACAATATAATTTATCCAAAACATGTCTATGATTAAGTCATAACTTTTAATTCATTATTAAGAAGGAATAGAACTATAATAATATATTGAAATATGTTTAAAAAAATAATATATTGCCTTCCTCCTTTTCCTTTCCGTGCAAATCAACCATGTGCAGCAGTTCTAAGTCGCTGCACTTATATAGAGTGCACGGCTCCTTCATACATCTAGCCATCATGGCTCAGCCTGACCAGCTTGCCCTGCCGTTTTCCACCAAAAGAAAGCTCTATGTGTCCTTAAAAAATGTTAACATAAATTGCAAGGCTATAGTCCGGTCATGCTGACTGCTGACATTTTTGACTGACTGGTGAGACACCCTAAAATGTTTCAAGCCCCGTCAATCGTTAGAAAATTACTCCTCAGTTTACTGAATAAGTAATGATTTTCTTTTAAACAATGATTGAATATATGAATATGCAAAATGTGTATTAAAGCCCCTCATTTTATAAATGTGATCTCTCATTTTAGGCAAATTAATAAAATAACAGAAGGGAGGACAAAAAAACTACTAATAAATTGTTTAGTTTAGCAAGTATATGATCAGATACAGAGTATGCTCATTTGACTTACTTTCTCTGTGCTTTGCGAAATATCAGGATCACAATTAGAATCACCAAAAAAAATGCTCCAGCAATATTTATTGGATACCAAACCCAGAAACGTGGGGATTGGGCCTCATGTTTTCCTGAGTCATCTGCAAGAATACAAACATAATGTAGGAGGCAATAGCAATGAACCAGTTAGCCTACACGGATAGAAGTGGGATAGAACCCGTCAGCCTACACGGATATAAGTGGGAGAGAACCCGGCAGGCTACACAGAGCGAGAAGTGGGAGAGAACCCGTCAGCCTACACAGAGAGAGAAGTGGGAGAGACCCCGGCAGCCTACACAGAGAGAGAAGTGGGAGAGACCCCGGCAGCCTACACAGAGAGAGAAGTGGGAGAGACCCCGGCAGCCTACACAGAGAGAGAAGTGGGAGAGACCCCGGCAGCCTACACAGAGAGAGAAGTGGGAGAGACCCCGGCAGCCTACACAGAGAGAGAAGTGGGAGAGACCCCGGCAGCCTACACAGAGAGAGAAGTGGGAGAGACCCCGGCAGCCTACACAGAGAGAGAAGTGGGAGAGACCCCGGCAGCCTACACAGAGAGAGAAGTGGGAGAGACCCCGGCAGCCTACACAGAGAGAGAAGTGGGAGAGACCCCGGCAGCCTACACAGAGAGAGAAGTGGGAGAGACCCCGGCAGCCTACACAGAGAGAGAAGTGGGAGAGACCCCGGCAGCCTACACAGAGAGAGAAGTGGGAGAGACCCCGGCAGCCTACACAGAGAGAGAAGTGGGAGAGACCCCGGCAGCCTACACAGAGAGAGAAGTGGGAGAGACCCCGGCAGCCTACACAGAGAGAGAAGTGGGAGAGACCCCGGCAGCCTACACAGAGAGAGAAGTGGGAGAGACCCCGGCAGCCTACACAGAGAGAGAAGTGGGAGAGACCCCGGCAGCCTACACAGAGAGAGAAGTGGGAGAGACCCCGGCAGCCTACACAGAGAGAGAAGTGGGAGAGACCCCGGCAGCCTACACAGAGAGAGAAGTGGGAGAGACCCCGGCAGCCTACACAGAGAGAGAAGTGGGAGAGACCCCGGCAGCCTACACAGAGAGAGAAGTGGGAGAGACCCCGGCAGCCTACACAGAGAGAGAAGTGGGAGAGACCCCGGCAGCCTACACAGAGAGAGAAGTGGGAGAGACCCCGGCAGCCTACACAGAGAGAGAAGTGGGAGAGACCCCGGCAGCCTACACAGAGAGAGAAGTGGGAGAGACCCCGGCAGCCTACACAGAGAGAGAAGTGGGAGAGACCCCGGCAGCCTACACAGAGAGAGAAGTGGGAGAGACCCCGGCAGCCTACACAGAGAGAGAAGTGGGAGAGACCCCGGCAGCCTACACAGAGAGAGAAGTGGGAGAGACCCCGGCAGCCTACACAGAGAGAGAAGTGGGAGAGACCCCGGCAGCCTACACAGAGAGAGAAGTGGGAGAGACCCCGGCAGCCTACACAGAGAGAGAAGTGGGAGAGACCCCGGCAGCCTACACAGAGAGAGAAGTGGGAGAGACCCCGGCAGCCTACACAGAGAGAGAAGTGGGAGAGACCCCGGCAGCCTACACAGAGAGAGAAGTGGGAGAGACCCCGGCAGCCTACACAGAGAGAGAAGTGGGAGAGACCCCGGCAGCCTACACAGAGAGAGAAGTGGGAGAGACCCCGGCAGCCTACACAGAGAGAGAAGTGGGAGAGACCCCGGCAGCCTACACAGAGAGAGAAGTGGGAGAGACCCCGGCAGCCTACACAGAGAGAGAAGTGGGAGAGACCCCGGCAGCCTACACAGAGAGAGAAGTGGGAGAGACCCCGGCAGCCTACACAGAGAGAGAAGTGGGAGAGACCCCGGCAGCCTACACAGAGAGAGAAGTGGGAGAGACCCCGGCAGCCTACACAGAGAGAGAAGTGGGAGAGACCCCGGCAGCCTACACAGAGAGAGAAGTGGGAGAGACCCCGGCAGCCTACACAGAGAGAGAAGTGGGAGAGACCCCGGCAGCCTACACAGAGAGAGAAGTGGGAGAGACCCCGGCAGCCTACACAGAGAGAGAAGGGGGAGAGAACCCGGCAGGCTACACAGAGCGAGAAGTGGGAGAGAACCCGGCAGCCTACACAGAGAGAACCCGGTAGCCTACACACAGAGAACCCGGCAGCCTACACACAGAGAACCCGGCAGCCTACACACAGAGAACCCGGCAGCCTACATGGAGGGGAGGGGGGATGTGTGTGTTGTGCTGGTTGTTAGAAAATCTCCTTTTCACTCCTATCCACCACCCACCCACGCTGCTTCCTAATCTGTCCGTGTCAAGGTCACTCGCTGCCGCCATTTCTGTGCAGATGCTCCTTTTCTGACCGCTACATGACAGTCCCCTTGGGATGTGGGCATTTATATGTTTTTTGTTTCATGCCAGGTATCAGTGGAAAAGGGGTGCCAAGAGCTTTAAAATTACCCATGTTACAAATCAGATTGTACAATACCTGTGCAATCCATAGCAAAGCAATGAATATCTAAATCTAGTTTGTGTGGATATGCCAATACTGCCTCACATGTGACCACACTTATGTCAAGCTGCAACAAGGCCTCTCACTCACCTTTCCTGGCATCTGCTATGCTGAACGCCATCTCTCCAGTTTTTGCAGGCTCTGCCTCTGGCTGTGGACCTAATAAACACAAAAAAAACCCCAAACTTTCATTAATACTAATGTCATCTATTACGGTAACTGCACTCATCAAGATCTGCCCACCCACAATCTATTGCACTGCATGCAGTTATGTAGAATCTGTGTTGCAGATCGGGAATTTTGATATTTTTGAAGTTGAGCTCCCCGATCACATTGCCCTACATACCAAGAATGTGGGCTAGTATCTGTTTATACAGACCCCCTGTCATGTGCATGTCAGCACAAATGACCTTAGGTGGATGCCACAAATCTGGGTCCCTTAGCAGAGGCATAAAAAATAATAATATATATATATTTATTATCACCTGTATGGCCCCAAGTAACATCCATTGGTAGTTAAGGGACAGGAAGTACAAAAGGCTCTTAATACTAAAAATAAAACAAAAACCCCCAAAAAACATAAACGTGGAGTTATTCTTTAACACTTTGGGATGTACAAAAGCAGTCAATCTAAGGGATGGGCAACACACCTCTAGTTTTACTGCTGTGCACTATCACTGCTGCAAAAAAATAAAATGGACCTTGTAACATTAGCCTAAGGGTATCCCTCTGTCACTGGACAGGCATTTTAAATGGATGGGATATAATCTTAAATGTCCTTTTCCCTGTGTTTCAATAATGAGTTCTTGTCATCGCTCTAACTTCATGAGAGCATGAAGCCTCACACCTCCTACTGCATTTTGTGTAATGTAAATGAAATGAAACATTTATCAGCAATGGAAGGATCACATTGGGAATTTGGATACAGAGATCTCTCCACCTCTGATCTGAAATAAAAAGCCTGTGAATGAATACACTTTGAAATTTCAGGTTTAACATATATTCTCTCATCTATTGAGTGACCCAGGGCGTCTTTCACCTTCAAGTTATACTGCCGCCTACAAGAGGATTGGACACTGGCAAACAGAACTTTAGGTCAGCCTGATAACCCTTTAATACCAGCATGCCTCATTTTTTCCCCCCCTAGTGTCCTAGGATGGACTTCCTGCCTTGAGGTCTACTGCTATTAAGCCTAACCTAGCACTTTTTATTTCTGTATTTTTTTTTCCCCCAATCAAGACTCTTCTACACAGATGCTGAAGGCTTTCCTTGTGATAAGTACTTTGCTCAATTTCTTTTTTTCTTCTTCCAGAAATGGTCCATTCCCACTGTGCATTGCAGTGTTACTCTTTGTACCTACTGTGGCTTATACTGCAGGACATGTTGTTATCAGCAGGGAAGGAAGACACTGTGTGGACCAATGTACTAGTCACTGTGGTTATATTTCCAGTTCTGTTCACTTTTTCTTCCTGGCTGACAGGTTGTCCTTCATTGTGCCACGTGATTATACATTTCGTAGTGCCAGAGGCCGTGCACTGAACGAAAACCACCTCGTCTGCATCTTCCACTGGATGTTTTTGACCCTCTGATATCAAATGAGAAAAACAATGAAAGTGATTCAAACTGAAAACATTGCACAAGATGGGATTTTTTTTCACACTCGCCTTAAAATCCTTTTCTCTGCATCCATTGAAGGACACAGCAGAGATCATCTCTGACCAATGGCTTAATATTGGGGATGTTCAGATACCAAGTACCGTACTCGATACAAGTACAGATACTTTTCCAGCTCCAAGACTAGACTAGAGAAAAACTCAAAAGTTAGGAGGTGGCTGTCATTTTTAAGGAGGCTCCTGGGATTTGTGTATCCCTGTTTTAATGTATGATTTTTTTTTTTATATAATTCGCTCCATGGCTCCGAGCGCCAACAATCGTCCCGCGTTCAAAGGCTGTTAAATGGCGTTGTTTCCCGTATCTTCAGAAACAAATCACTTCTACTGTCGTGGTAAACAACCCGCTTCCCTATTTATAATGGTCTGGCCCTCTAGCAACTTCAGCGCAAAATTATAGCTAATTTGCCTACAAACGTCAGGTGGTCATAATAATCTGGCCACTCAGTGTATATTAGGGATGCACCAATACCAGTTTTTCAAGTACAAGTACTGATACTTGTCTCCAAGTCCTCACAGATACAAGTACGGATACATTTTTGTTTATTGTCATGTGACAGTTCTTCTAAAACAATGCAGACTAATGATTTCAGGACAGTGGTGGAGCCACAGAAATCTGAATCCAGGAGGGGCTGGAACCTGCACCTCAGGCAGAGATTTGCACACGTTCAATGTTGTTAATTGCAGATCTAATGGCAGGAAAAAAAAATTATAAAAAAAAAATAGCCTGCAAAAAAGCAAGGGGAACCAATATCCCCAAGCAGGGAGCGAAGGCTTGGTCACCAACATGGGCTGCGGGTTTTTTTTTTAGCTTAGTGTCCTACACCCGCAGGTGGCAGTGTAAACCCGATGCTCAGAGATCAAGATCTCTCTGCTGTGTCCTTCCAAGGATTCTAAAAAAAACACATCATATTGCTTTAATAAATAATCTTTTCAATAATCCTTTATTCATGCAAAATTAAAACAAACAATCTGCTTGCCCATTAAGGGAAAAATGACAAGTTCTCTTGAGCAGCTCCGCTGTCTGAGCCCCGGAAATACTTGGTAGTTCCAGGTATGGAAGGAACATGTGATCTCCTCCATCTCTCAGGGTGTAGTGCTTCAACCTGAGCCATCAATTGCCAGACTCAAACACTGCAGCATAAGATGGGATGACATGGGACGGCGACATGAAAGGTGGCTTGCAAGAGAACCTGTCACTTTGCACTAAATCGGCAAAGTGACAGATTTGTGTAAAACAAACATACAGTACACATACAGTATACACTACAGTATATATAATAAATAAAGCTCCTGTTCCTGGAGTTCAGCTTTAAGCAGTGTATTTCATTGGTAAAATACGGCAGCAAATTTGATAAAGCACGGACGTAAACATGGTTAGTGTGCAGATTCACAAACATTTCATTTGAAATGTACCGTACTACTCACTTTGGGTGTTCCGCTTCTTTCTTTTCGCTCGCTCTAGCTGGAACGTACATTCTGGGTTGATATTTGTGTCCGTGTATTGACCTTTAACAGTGAAAACATCCGGTACGCCGATTTTCCTCTTCGTAAGCTGAACAGACTGACGCATCCGTATCTCGGGAGGAAGCAATTCTATTCTGAGGTCATTACCTTGTGCATTACACAACACTTCATTTATCGGCTCTAAAAGGAAAACATACAATATGTTAAGGCGGCAGGAATACCTGTAGCCACTAGAGAAATACAATATCTGCCAGCTTTTGTTCTGATGTCAAGTAAAAACCCCACAGACATGCACACTAAATAGGCTGTACATGCCCATAAACCTTGCTAACCCCAAATTGATCATCTAGAACAGGGGTAGCCAAACTCCAGCTGTGGTGAAACTACAAATCCCATGATGCATCTCTCTGTCTGTGAGAATCTTGCAATGCCTTATGGGATTTGTAGTTCCACTAGAGCTGGAGGGCCCGAGTTTGGCTACCCCTGATCTAGAAGATGGTGTGCCTGGGTAAACTACACTAATGCACCATTTACACTGCAGTTGTTCTCAACCTGTTTAACCGTGGGACCCAAATTTGTCCACGGTCATTAAGTCACGACCCAAGTTGCACTGCAATGTTCCATGTTGCGATACTACGCTTTCCGGTGCAGGCGATGGAACTGTGGGTGGGAGGTAGGTTTGGGTTGCCATTACGGAAACTGGAGTGGATCCTCAACGGGGGGTCCAGTGTGGGCTGCGGTGCTGTGATGGAGCTTCATCCATATGTGTATTGCTTGTAAAGCTCCCGTGCGCACCCGTAGGAGGTGGTGGGAGCCAGAATGGGATGGGCTGTAAGCAGTGCACTTATGGATGGAGCTCCCTCGCGGCCATGGCGCCAGCCCACCCCACCCTAAGTCAACACTCGGCACCGGGCATCATAATTTTTAATGGCTGCTCAGTGCGAGAACTGACAGTGCTTCTCTAGGATCCTCTCACCTAGAAAAGTGGAAGGCATATGGCGACCCCCTGGACATGGGGTCACGACCCACCAGTTGAGAATCAAGGATTTACAGAATGGTCATAGAGACAGAGCGTTCTATGGGGCAGATTCACAAACGTGTCTAGCCTTACAAACTGTACAGGGCTGCCTCTAAAATAGAGAAATACATGAAATATTGGAAGTGCAGTCAGTCCCAGTTCTCTTTTCCCAGCTCTTCTCAGTAGGAGTGCCAGTTCACGCACTAGCAACTTAGAGCCCTTTCACACAGGCATGCCCATAGACTCACACTGGGCTTCTGATCAGATCCACCTTAAAAAAACAAAACCTGACTGGGACCTGAACGGAAGCCCAGTGTTAGTCTATAAGCAGCCAGATCTAAACAGATGTGCGTCCGGTTACATCCGATTACTCCCGACTGCAGCCAGGTTCAGAAAATCAAACAGAACAGAATTCCTTTTTGGTGGACCCGATTGTGGCGGATTAGGGGTAATCTGATGTAAGCAGACACATGTCCATTTACATCCGACTCCCTATAGACCAGGGGTAGCCAAACTCCGGCCCTCCTGCTGTGGTGGAACTACAAATCCCATGAGGTATTGCAAGATTCTCACAGCCACAACTCCTGGAGAGAGATGCATCATGGGGTTTGTAGTTTCACCACAGCTGGAGGGCCGGAGTTAGGCTGCCCCTGCTATAGACCAACATGGTCTGGTAATCGCAAGATGGAGGAAAACAAAAACTGGACAGAGACGGATGTCACAATGGCGACATCCGTTCCAAACTGCTCCGATCAGCAGGGAATCTGTGCATAGATCCCGCGCTGATCGGAAATAAACAGGCCCGTGTGAAAGGGGCCTTAGTGTCGCCGCTCTGACATGGCAGCAAGCAACATCTGGACATCCCTTACCAAACACAAATGCTCTAAGGCCTCGTTCACACCGGGCCGGTTCGGTCGCTCTGAACCACCGACATGAACGATCCCATACATTCCTATGGGGACCGTTCATGCGATCGCACGGATCGGAACTTCCTGCCGCCCGAAATGCCTCCGGAGCCTTATTTTCCATACAGATTTGAATGGAAACGCGCTGATAAGCACGTTTTTAATTGCGTTTTAATGCTAAAACGCAAATAAAAACGCCCAAGACCACCCTTTTAAAATTCGGGCGGAAAACAGTGCTGAAACGCATCCGCCTGGGTGTGAATGGAACCCCCTAAAATACAAATACCAATATGCAACCACATGCCAGGTCTGACTTACGGAGATCATTCAGGCAAACGCCTCCGGTAAAGGCGCCATTTGGATAGGCATTGAACAGGCAGTTGTAGCAAGCTTCATCTTCCTTTTCCAGCTTTGAGATCCTTATAGACGACGTCACTGAACTCGTGTTCACAACGGTGATGTGCTTTTCAAACGGCCTGGCAATGTTGATGCCGTACTTGTCACTGCAGGTCACCATGTTCTGAGTGTCCTTCCCCCTCTTCTTTTGCCAGGTGACTTGCAGGACATCCAGATGAGCTTGAAACTCGCACGTTAGGGTGACATCCCCTCCCAGTAGTGCTGGGTTTGTGTTTGTACATATTACCCGAGGGGGCGATGCTACGGATGTTACGGAAAAAGAAAGAAAATTGGTTACAGACAAAACAAAAATGCTAATATATGATATTAAAAATGCTAACATGCAGGGCGTGCTCCTGTTTCTGGATATACACGAGGCTTTCAATGCCATTTCATGGGACTATATGAATTTTGTCAAAATTAAGCTTTTGGAAGCAACGCGTGGGTGTCGGGCAAGGGGGGCGCACTTCACCGGCCCCTGGAGGCACCCGAGCCGCCAGAATCACTTTCAGTGTAAAGCAGTCCTGGCGGTTCTGTTTAAAGGGGCCTGCAACTGGAGCAAAGTTCAGCTTTGAGAATGAAATAGAGAAGCTGATTGGTTGCCGGGGATAACTGCCTCAGATTGGATAAATCCTCCCCCTGTTTTTCTTTTCTTAATGTGCGCTACCTCGCTGTGACGCATTGTTACACAATGCAGGGAGTGGCACCTTAACGCAGCGCATTTCACCCAGCAGTGTCAGGCGTTGGGTGTGCAGCGGATTTTGTCTGGTTGCATCAGGCCTGTACTGAGCAACGCAGCCTGACGCATGAGACGTTAGCATGCATTTGAGCAGATTTGCATTGCAAAAGCACGCCGCTTACAGCGCACCCCCTTTCCCCAACGGACAGGTACCAACACCCGAGCGGAGGGGGGGAATAGACGGCACAGGGTGACGGAAACTCACAGACAGTGAGCGATTTCTCTTTACAGTCTGTAATTGGCTGCCTGTCCCTTCGGACACAGATCGCTCCAGCCCATTAGTGACTGTAAGGAGAAATTTTCCAACAGTCTGCAGTAGGGACGGCGCAACCATTTCTCCGCCCCCTCCCCCCCAACAGCGCCCTTCCGAGGTGACAGGAGTCTTTAATGCTGCTATGCGCAGGCAGCATTAGTAGCAGGGCCAGATTCCCGACAAGGCCACGTCTCGGGGCGGCAGAAGGGCGGCAGCGGTTTGAAGTCTCCCGACGCCCGGGACATGCAGTTCGGGGCGCCGGGCGGTAATTTGCTTCCTACATTTAGCCCTGCTTTGCACAAGCAGGGCTGAATGTAGAAAGGCGAAGCCGCTTGTTTCTTTACAAGTGATCTTGGCGATGGGCGATGTTTACCAACATCACTTGTAATTAGACTGCTGCCCCCCCCTCGCACCTACCTCTCTCCATGGTGGCTCCGTCCTCTCCTCGCTGGCAGCCGACGCCTTCAGGATGGAGAGCTGGGAGCAGAGCGGCAGGGTTAAAAGTAACCCTGCCGCTCCGTGTATACAGTGACAGGGGAGAGCAATCTTCCCCTCTCACCTGTGACAGGAATTCCAGCACAGTGCTGTGCTAGAACTCCTGTATTGGAGGTGACAGCTTCAATAAAGAGAACCCGTCACCTCCAAATGCTATCACACATGGGGCTTGTTAGTTTCTGTGCGATAGCAATAAAGTTAAGTGAAAAAAAAGATTAAAAAATTAAGCCGCCCACAGGACGAGCTGTGACGGCCGCACGGCTCGCACACCCCTAAGGCCGGCCCTGGGGCTCCTAATGCTGCCTGCGCTCAGGTCCCGTCACTTCAAAACTGACTGTCCCATTAGGCTGCCGAATTCTGTGCAGTCCGGCCGGCTTGCCTGATTGTGCCGCCCATGCAAGGCTCCGACATTGCGCCATTCCACCGGAGACAGAAGTGAAAGTGAACCGGCATGTTTATATAGAAGAAGTTTCCACCTCACAGGGGAGAGCCGCCTGTTCATGATGCAGAGGTGTCAGTGTAAATAGACCGCCCCCCTTACCCAGAGCCACCGACACCGCCACCGACAACACTATCAGACGCTGCATCCCGTGCCGAGCGATGATCTCACAGGACTTTGACATGACAGGCTGTTTGAATTTCGCGGCCAAACGCGACTCGCGTCACATCCCAGGAGGCGGAGCCAGGGGTTTCAAATGCTAACGAATTTCCAAGTGATGAATAGAAGTATAGACCTCTGTCTGGTGGTCTATACATGTGCTGTCCCATAGACCTGTGGTGGTCTATACATGTGCTGTCCCATAGACCTGTGGTGGTCTATACATGTGCTGTCCCATAGACCTGGCAGGGACCTGTTGTGGTCTATAAATGCCCTGTCCCAGGGACCTGTGGTGGTCTATACATGTGCTGTCCCAGGGACCTGTGGTGGTCTATACATGCGCTGTCCCATAGACCTAGCAGGGACCTGTGGTGGTCAATACATGTGCTGTCCCAGGGACCTGTGGTGGTCTATACATTAGCTGTCCCAGGTACCTGTGGTGGTCTATACATGCGCTGTCCCATAGACCTAGCAGGGACCTGTGGTGGTCAATACATGTGCTGTCCCAGGGACCTGTGGTGGTCTATACATGTGCTGTCCCATAGACCTGGCAGGGACCTGTTGTGGTCTATAAATGCCCTGTCCCAGGGACCTGTGGTGGTCTATACATGTGCTGTCCCATAGACCTGGCAGGGACCTGTTGTGGTCTATAAATGCCCTGTCCCAGGGACCTGTGGTGGTCTATACATGTGCTGTCCCAGGGACCTGTGGTGGTCTATACATGTGCTGTCTCAGGGACCTGGCATGGAATATTTAGTAGCAAGGAAATGTCACGGATGGACTTGTTGCAGAGGTGACAACCTATCACGGTACGACGCTTTGTAGTCACTGAGCTCCTGAGAGCGACCCATTCTTTCACAAATGTCTGTAGAAGCGTCTGCATGCCGAGGTGCGTGATGTTATACACCGGTGGCCATGGAGGTGACTGGAACCCCTGAATCCAATGATTTGGAGGGGTGTCCCAATACTTTTGGCAATATACTGTAGTTTTCTCATTTTCTAGTCATATAAATTCCACACCACTCCTCATAATGCCCTCCACTCATCATAATCCGCCCCGCCCATCATAATGCCCTCCACTCATCATAATCCGCCCCGCCCATCATAATGCCCTCCACTCATCATAATCCGCCCCGCCCATCATAATGCCCTCCACTCATCATAATCCGCCCCGCCCATCATAATGCCCTCCACTCATCATAATCCGCCCCGCCCATCATAATGCCCTCCACTCATCATAATCCGCCCCGCCCATCATAATGCCCTCCACTCATCATA